CCAAGATGAATAGCCAACGCACCGGCCGGCGTTAGTGGCTCAAATTAACCTGAAGCTAATCCAGCACAACCAAACTCAAGGAAAGCAGCTATCGAACCTTCCCATTCACTTGACTGCAACATTGGTGTCCCCTCCAGTAAAACACTTCGTATGTCGACCTCAGTGTACTGTTCTACATCCTTATAAAGAAACCGCTTATCAGTTACCAAGCAATCGTCACTTTGATTGTGATTAGAGACAGACGAGAAATCAAAACGTTTTTCCGTGATTCCTTCCCATCCAAAAAATTTAAAGCACGCGATCGTGTGTTGTGGAATAAACGGGCTTTCAAACACGTGATGGAAAGAAACAATCTACTGAGGCTTCACCACACTAATGAACACTCAGGCAAACTTAAGAAATTTTCGGACCTTCATCAAATTACATTGCTCGCCGCCGCGCCGACAGCACGCGTCCGCGGAAGCCACCAGAGACGCGGCGGGGCGCGGAGCGACCTGGACCGGCTGGTTCCCGGTTTTCCCGCTTGGCGGCGTCCGTTTTTCTGGAGTCGCGAATAAGTGTACTTTTCTTTTTGTGGATTTATCAGACAGTGAGCTATATAAATACAGAAACGAACAAGTTGAAACAATGAAAGTTTAAAAAAGGATGACTTAAAAGGGTACTCCTTCGATTTCTTTAGCTACCCCAACTAACTATATTTTCGGAATCCCCGGCTTTTACCCTTTCCGGTATGTTATTTAGTATCGCGAAATTTAAAACATTTATTGTAAAATCAGCGAATAAAAATGGTGCCAAAACCGACGTTTCAATTATACCCGCGCATTTAAATGCCGTGGTGTCAGTGTTAGACAGTCAGAAAAATGTATACTATGCCAAGCATTTGTTAAGTACTGCTTCGCGGGTGTTGGAGCGAGCTCCCAAAGCAGTCATTCGAGACTAAGAAACTGCTTTAAATCAGTTAAGAGCAAATTCTAAACTCCAAGGAGCGAACCCCTGTCTGCCGCTACCGTCACTCTTATTTTGTTTCCAGTAGAGACTTTGACTTTGAAAACCACGATGAGGATGAAAATTGTATATTAACTAACTTTGGGCAAATTCTAATATTTTCACCTAATATTTGGGATATTTCTAAATATTAGGACGGGAACTCCAACGTTCCCGTTCTTTTCTGCTTGCTCCTCACTATATAACCGGTTTTTCCTTACGATGTACCGCAGGAGACGCAAGCAGGCATCGTGGCCAATCTCGCGAATGCGGTGTCAGCTTCACATAACCGTAGCGCAGTGTCGGGAAGTACTTTAAGTACACTGTACTTAAAGTACTACTTCGAGTACGTCTAGAAAACTTGTACTTTGATAGAAGTGCTACATTCTCTGAGTATGTACAGTCGCCCAATTTTTTGATAATATCACGTGAGCGTCGACCGCCGGGACGGGCAGTGCCATGCCGCGGAGAAATGCAGCGTCACAGGAGAGATTAAGCGCGTGCGCAGAAAGCCTTTTCCGGAGGGCGTCGTCTGCTAGGCTATTTCGCTGATCGCACACAGCCCCTGCGCCGTAGCATAAAAAAAAAAAAAAACATTAAGCGGAAACTTTGTTTATACTCCGTTTCACTTTGTGTTGTACCACAGCCGACGCTACGAGCCATCTTGGCCAGTCAGTCGCTAAAACTGTGTCACGTGGCCTTCCTGTTGGGCACAACTGCACGTGGAAGCACGATGTCACGTGGCAGGGGGACAGCGCTGGATTGGTTTTGATGGATCGTAGCACTGGCTGCGGTATATAGTTTAATGCATAGTTGCATCCAGCTTGTCGTGTCATCGTATTTTTTTTTTTTTTGGTGCTGACAAAGTAAACGCAAACAGAAAGTAAAAGAATGTGAAAAAAAAAAAAAACTAAATTAAACGAGATGACGCGTGGTTTCTTTCACGCCTGAGTAGTATCACGGCATCACGCAAGCAAGCGCTCTTCTGAGGCCAGATTCCCGAAACTTTCTCACGACAAAAAAGTTCGTAAATTTATCTTACGACAAAGTCTCGAACTTTTGAGTATTCCCGAAGCAAAATGTTCGTAAGTTTTGCGTAAGTTAAGACGATATCCTACGACAGGGGTCCGATCGATCTTACGAACATTTTGGCGACTTTCAACCAAAATGGCTGCCGCGTACGTCGTCTACCCGCTTCAGCAGCAGCGCGACGCGGAGCGGAATCTACGGCAGCAACAACCCCCGGACATTTTCCATAGGCCCAATGGAGTCGAGTTTTGTACAGTAGCGCCGAATTCCTCGTCCGTGGTCGGGGGCTCTCATTACTTGAACGAGTCAACTTATCATTTTATATTCGGTAAATTGTAAAATTATATTAAGAGCTAACCATGCTATTAATAAAATATCTGGCTCACTTTTCAAAACGACTTTTATATACACGTTTGGAACGTAGTAGCCTGCTTTGAAGCCGTTTCTAAGCCAAGCCGTAAAGAATCCAACATGGCGCCCCTTTACTTTTGTAGGGTGGTTCTCGTATGGATCGCTTCGGGGTCGTGTTGGAGCCTGGATCCAGGCTCCTGAGCACCACGCCCGGTCCCGGTAGTGTAATAATAGGGACTTTTAACAAACCGTGTTCCGCGTACCGCACTATCGGAGCCTTTGAAGCATGCTTTTAAGTGCGCGCCCCGCTGTCACGGTATCACTCCGGTTTCAAAGGCCCCGATAATGCGGTACGCGGAACACGGTAACAGTTCGCTAAAAGTCCCTAACGTAATATACGATGTGCGATTTCGCTTTCAGTTGTATAAGGTGCGTATTCGTGAGTGTTCGTTGTTCTTCTGTTTCGAGGCGTCCCGCCGTCCAGTAAGGAATCCAGAGCTGCGACCGAAATATTTCGAGGCATATTTATTGCACAGATGCTAAAACGGAATTAAGTACAGCACTGCACCTGCATGCGCGCAAAAATAAAACATTGACAAAATCACTTCGTCAACCTCGCCCACAAGCTCCCGTTTCAGGCAGCACCTCTCATCTGTGCACGATCTCATCACTTCATTATTACATGCGCCTCCGCACACCTTGGGAATGGGCTTTATCACTAATTTTATCACTATCACTTCTTCGGAATTGTCACTAACGCATATCTTTACAAGTGTACACATTGACCCGCATAATTATGCATTCAACATGCCAAGTTGGATCAGCTGTTTACTGAAAGTAAAGTTGTTCACTGATTTAAAAAAAACATAAGCCACTTACGATGCCCCCAGCAATCATTAGCTTCATTTTTACATATTCATAGCTTCTCACGCAACCAAGATGAAAATGTGAAATAAAGCTTCGAAAAATGTTGGCACTCAACAGGCTGTACAACTGGTTGGGAACCACGAAGTGTCCGAAGTTTTTCTCCTCCTTGAGACAACGTTCAAATGCTCGTTCCATATGTCCCAGCATCTGTAATGACAATGTGGTCATGATATTTAAAATTTTAAACTAATTTAAAAACAAAAAAAAAGTTTATGTACAGAGAATAAACTAATGACATAATGCCGTTTTCGCACCCGGAACCATGCAGAAATAAATGAAACTTCAAATTAATATATAGGAAGCCTCATTCTTTCTTTTTATTATCCTCCGTCTGTTCGAGGACCGCCAAAGAGCATTTTCTAGATTAAACCCAATTGTTGCACTTTAAATAAGCAGTTGTGCACAAATCGAAGTGGGGCTAAGTGTATACAATTAACTTCATTAAAACCGTACTTGTTCGGGGTGATATGTTTTTACTGCGAGAACGAGCCTGCCTATAGTACGGTAAACCCGCAAACTAAGAGCTATGGGCAGCAAAAGTTTAATGGTAAGTTCGCTGAGCAAATAAAACTGAGTATATACTCACCTGTCTTTTCTTGAGAAAAAAAATGAACAAACAAAAACTTGTGGGTCTTGGCATTTGCGCTGTTCGTGCACCATTGGGATATGGCCACGTAAAATGCACCTCTCAACAGTCTCTGAAAGTTTGCACCAAAATATCCATCGAGTTCGACAGGCGCGCGGAACGCCGGTGAGCGAAACCACGCTCGCACGGACACCCTTGGGTAAACAAAACCGCCATACCGCGATACCGCCGGGAGGCACTCACTTGATCGAATGACGTTTTAGCGAACGCCCACGTTTCATCGAATGACACTTTAGCGAATAGTCGGACGCCGCGAAGCGGCGTTTTCGGGTGGGCCAAGTGAGTTCATATTTTTGTAATGAGTTGCCGCAGACTGTCGCCGCGAAGCGGCGTAAAGCGCAGCGCGACGGATGGGTTAACGCGCGCCCCCGTTATTCGCTAAAACGACCATTCGCTCAAATGTCGCCGTTCGCTAAAATGTCATTCGCTCTTGTGATATGGACCCGGACCCGATACCGCCATACCGCCGTCCGCCGTTACGAAGTTTCAAATTTGGGCGAGGGTAGAGCGAGGGGAGCAGCGTGAGCAGCGGCGCCTTCCAGGGCCCAGGACGCCGGCGAGGCCAGCGGGTCGGTTTAGAGTTTTGGTTTCAGACAGAAAACAGAACAAACAGAAAGAAATATATAAAATAAATTGAATTTTATTTTCATGGTGCGGTGAAGACGTTTTGTTGAAATTACTGTTAGCGAACAAAGTTTCATATTTGTATTTTTGTATTAATGAGAGCCCCCCACCACCCAAGCGCTGCTGCCGGTGGCGACGCTATACACAGCGCCGCTGATGGTGGCGACGCTAATGTCAGCGCCGCGAAACTCGGACTGTGACCGGGGGTTGACGTGTGTTCCGCACTCCTCGGACACTCGACACCATCGCCGATAACCATCTGGCGAGGTACTACCGTCTCCCGAGGCCTGCCATGGAGAGACTCTGCGAGGCGCTCGCACCTGCGCTCCGCCGTCCGACGGCTCGGAACTGTGCGCTCCCCGTGGACGCCCAAGTACTACTGGCGCTTCGCTTCTATGCGAGCGGCAGTTTTCAGTCGGTCGTGGGCGACGTGGGGAATATGAGCCAGACGAGTGCTTCGCGCATTATAAACTCGGTGAGCAGCGCGCTCTGCAACTTTGCTGAAAAAGGGATCAAGTTCCCCGTGACCCCGCAGGCAGCAATGCGTACTGCACGCGGTAAGTGTTTTCCCAATGTCGTGCTCGTTAGTTACTCCTGTTATTTTATTTCAGTGCGAATTGTTAGCGCGTTTACTCAGCCTGATCAACTTTAATCGGGGGGAACGTGGGCGTTCGCTAAAACGTCATTCGATCAAGTGAGTGCCTCCCGCATGACCCTAATGAGTGTAACTTTCATTGACGCGAACGAAGTTGTATAGATTGACGTGAGCAACGGCATTGTGCGGAATGGTCGCCGAGACTCTCAGTCAGCAGTGCATTGTTCATGCAATGCCCATGACAACTAACAAAAGCACTCTTTGCCCCCCCCCCCCCCCCCCCAAAACCCTTCTTTTTTTCGGTAATAGTGTTTAAATGGGTGCGATAGTGCTTTAATTGAGGTATGAGTATTTAGAGGTCATCTATTTGATAGACCAAGTTTTGTATATATTGTAATGTGGTAAATAAAATATCCAAGATGTCCACTGCTTCACAGAATGTTGAACACTTCGTTGTTTTAATCTGTAGGCTTTGCGGAAATCAATGGATTCCCCAAGGTGCTGGGGTGCATCGACGGCACGCACATCGCCCTCAAGATTGCGAAGAATTACCAGAACATCTACCGAAACAGGAAAGGATACGACTCGCTGAATGTGCAAGCGGTCTGCAATGCGTCGAACGAAATCACACAGCTCACAGTGAAGTGGCCGGGGAGCACGCATGACAGTTTTATGTGGCGCAACTGCGACTTGTCGGAGAAGTTCGAGGCTGGGGGCATGCCCGATGGCTGGTTGCTGGGTAGGTATATTTTAATTTGGATTTCATATGAGTATTTAATAGTTGACAGGCTGAACGACCATATGCTTCGTAGCCTCTTGGTATCCAGCCTTTTTTGCATTTCGATCTTGGCAAAGGTTTGAGCCAGCTTGCACATTTCAGTGTAACTCCTAGATAGGTACTTAGTTAAATATATAATAAGTTAAACCAGGACAAAGCGAGCCAGTCATTTCCTTTGTGCTACTTGCGTGTCCACTAACAAGTTAGGAAGGAATTAAGCTTAAACCGATGCAGCTTTCTTCCATGAATCTCTTCTCGTTATCTACTGTAGTGAGCTTCCATCTGTTCAAGTCTGGAAATGTACTACAGCTGTAGTGGGGAATTTCGGGCGAGCGCTGCAGGTCTGCCCTCCTGGAAGTTGTAGGGTGCCCCTCGTAGTAGTGATCTACAAATCCACGCAAACAGAATGCCCGTTCATGTCGAAACCGGCAGAGCTTGGGAGACGAACTTGCAACCCTTTGGTTACCAGTTCAGGTATTGCTGGAGCGCTTTGTTTGCAAGCCCAAACCCCAAGCAGTCATATCTATTGTATTACTTATGCATGGTTTCACGTGATATCTCATATTATTTTTAATATTTTAGGGGATGCAGGCTACCCCCTGCAGCCATGGCTGATGACGCCATTTCGCAAGCCGAAGGAGGAAGAGGGCGAAGAAGCCTACAACATGTGCCTCACCAAGACGCGTCAAGTTATAGAGAGGACATTCGGGATATTGAAGTCCCGCTTCCGGTCAGTAGCGTCAGCAGAGTCTGAGTTTGGGAGTTAAAACTTGTTTTGAAATTTCCTCAGAACTACCTTCTCTCCTTTCTGCATGTGCGGCGTAAAACAAAAACAGTTCTTTTTTTTTATTGTCCCTATTTTATTTCTCTACCCTCATGCTAAAAGGGTGCAGTTAACACTGTTCCCACTTGGAGACCAAAAAACTTGTTGGAGCTAGGCACATATCCAGGGAGAAGGCCCAGGTAGCCTGATCTGGGTCCTCTTCAAAGTCCTCCAGTTTTGCTGGCACCTCCCCTTTCCCCTCCTTTACCCGCCTGGCTATGTGCCTGGCTGTAGCAGACTCCCCATAAAGGCTATCTTGAAAGAGAAGTTCGGTTTCCAGCATCGTGCAGTACTAGCTGGAATCCGAGAACATATAGTGTTGCTTCAGCATGTTAGACAGCCATACTTATGATTGCTCCTCTTCGTCTGATAGTTCAGTGAAAGTTGCATAATGACTGGGCCTGACCTGTTCTTTACTTTGGTGCCTTTGGATTGCACCTCAGCACAACATATACGCTGAAAGTGGGATCACACAAAGTATGAACTACGGTATAGTCAAATCGGAAATGCAGGCAATGGGGGGAACGCATATAAAAGCAGGGACTTCGAGGAGCATTAAATAGACAGGAGTGCCAAAGGGTTCTGGGGGCTGCATAAACTTCATATAGTCATCACTAACAGTAAATACTGAATTAACAAATTTCCTTACTACGCCACTGCTTCAGGTGTCTCGACAGGTCCGGAGGGGTCCTACAGTACACCCCAAGCGTGTGCTGCCGTATTATCGTGGCGTGTGTGGTCCTCCACAATTACTGCATCCGGCACCATGTCTCCCTCACAGATCCACCAGGTAAGAAAGACATGTTCTCTGAAGAGTTTATGCATTAATCACCTGGTCATATCACATGAATGAGGCTGGTGAAAGCATTGCTTGCTGTAACTCTGGACTTGGGTTCTGCAGAAGGTTCGCCCACTTTTCTTGTCACAGGATTGCAGAGGGGCAGCTAAGCTGAGCTGACTACAGCTTTGACTATAATCTCTTTTAGAAGCTCTTCACTGGCAGAATAGTTTTAGGTTTAGTAACCCATTAAGTGCCACGTTATAAGATTTGTTACGTGACGCTTAACAGGTTACCAAAGAAACGGCCGTAGCTGCGGAGTAGTGCGTACGCTGTGCTTTTTCGCAAAACTGACACTGCTCTATATGACGTGGATAAGGCTCATTTAACCCATATGAGTGATGTTTTCCAGGACAAAATTGTCAGTCATCTGGAGACTCGCCGAACTTGGATAGCAATGTATTTTCTAGACTTTGGGGGCAGTTCCAGTGGGATGAAAATGATTCTCAATGCCTCTGCAGAGGATGTCCGTGAATTACAATGTTGGAACAAGACCATATTTCGTCACTAGCTGCCAGACCGCACAGGCGGAGGCCAGCAAGATACTTTGCAGTGGACGTTTCAGCTGCCATGGGGCCACATTTTTAAACATACAGTGTTCAGACGACTAAATGAGCCCGGCCTTTACACTCGTAGGCCTGCGAGATACTTCTGTTAGCTGGAACTCTTTGAATAGTCTGTGCAGCCTGATGGAACAGTCATTATTCTTAAATTGTGAGCCTGATCGAGTATACGCAAATTCATCTCTGTTACGTCAGGGCGTGGTGGTGGCGCGCCAAGCGCACTTCCGGCCTGAAGCTGTGGGCGGAAGTCCCCATGTCAGACGTGTATTCCTGCATTGTTTTGAAAGGAACCAGACAAAAAAAAACCTGCCTTCTCATCAAAATGCCGCGACTGGGGTTGTACCAAAAGAGTTGAGAAAGGTTTAAAGGTCAGTTTTCATGTACTCGGTTCGTCCGAGAACGTGGAAATGTGCCGTGAAAAGGGAAAACCAGATGCCGTCGGACCACGATTGCTTGGGCGGGTAGCAATTTGGGTTGAATTAAGGGATACTTGTGGTCATCAGATTTATTTGTTTTGTTCCAACATGAACGCCTGAAAACCGTCATGTTGTACGGACCACCTGCAAACTACATTCAGTGCGTCTTCAAGTTCAAACGGCCGCCTGATCGTTCGAATCGTCGTCTGCTCTTTCAAACGATTCTGCTTGTCTTCTGCTCTTTTAGACTACACCGGCTCGTAGACCAAATATTAGTCCGGTACTTGCGATAAGAAGTAAGTGCAGACCTCAAAAGACTCGAGTTTGGAGGTTGGTAAGCAGTCTTGATGTAAACAGTAGATACAAGGAGATATTAATTGTTACCAGTGGCCATCACCGACTTGTTATGCCTGATTCACTTGGTCCGATTCTGCTTGCCATTTTCAGTATCGATGTCGACCATCTCAGCTACGGTTCACACTTTCGCAGCCCGAGCGACGTCGTGACTGAAAATTGCGAGTGAAATCTCATCATGCGAATCAGGCCTTGGCGTACATTCTGTGGCGTCTGCGCAGAATGAATCGCCGCATGTCACATTATTCACGCAACGTTTTACGGTGTAACGAGCCTCGGTGATTTCTCTGAGGCCGCTCAAGCAGTCAGACATCGCCAGGAGGACATAGAATCAACAATTCGAACGCGAAAAAGGGCTGGGGGACTCACACCGACGCCGACAACATTGCATTTCAATGGTTTGTTTATGGGTGACGGTGAGCTTCTTGGCCACACTCCATCGCGCAAGTGTTGCGTCGGTGGCGTCTGCTAGGGGTGCTCCGGTTTGTTTGTAAACATGAGTTCGTTCATGAGGTAAACCTGCCCCTTCTGTTGGTGGGGACAATGTTGTGGTTGAGCCATTGAAGCTGGCAAGTGGAAGCGGCTGTTTTAGTCGCCTGCCTTGCTTCTGAAATTGAAGCATCTATACAATGAGATTGTGAGTTCCTCTCATAAGAGGATCGGGTGAAGCAGAATATAGAATACCATTCATGACATGTTGACGGAAAGTCTGCCAGGGGAGCTCAGCCAGCACATTAAGCAACAGTAGCTAATGCAGCACGTGTACTCTAATTCGAGCCTTTGGACAAATTTGTGAAGCCTATAATTTATTAGGACTGTTCTCAGAATGAGTTTTCTGCAGTTATTATTCAGTTACTGTTGTATTATAATCATGCTTGCAAATCTTGAGATGTCCTTTTGCTGCTGTGCAAATTACGACTTTCTGAACAGTAGCGGGTGGTGAATGATTGGGGGCCGAGTGGGCTGAGTGCACACCAGCTCGTAGCATGTGGAGCGAAAGCTTGTGCAGCAGAACACAGAAATCTTGGCTCAAATACCCACCCCTTTCGTTGTGGTTGCGGCTCGTACTGGCGTGTGGTCGTGTATCACTACTGCGTGGTGCACGCTGAAGACCATGCAAGCAGTTTTACTAAACTGACTAAATTGCTGGATCTATAGCGTAAGCCAGTGTTGCCCTTCAATGGCAGATCAAACTTACGTCGTATAAGCATTAACATCAAATTCACTTTTTTTTTACAGTTGTGGAATCCGATGAGGAGGAGGAGGAGGAAGAAGAAGACGAAGAAGACAGGCCGAGCACCGCCAGGGACACGCCTGCTGGCATTGTTGTAAAGAGAAACCTTGTTAACGAAGTATTCAAGTGAAAGCTTATGAAAGCACAAAAGCGATCACTGGGTGTGGATGACACCCACTGATCTCCGACGATTTTCTGGATCACGCATCACCACTTCGGGGGTGAAGCCACTGGAAGTTCTCAATAGACCCTTTTCAAAAATCCCAAAAGCCCGCGCGTGCGAGAAATAATGGGAGTTTTTGGTATGCCACTCCTCCCGCTACCACCTAACCTCCCGCTACCACGTGACCATGTGGCATACGCGAGCAGGCGCAGGTTACCACGGCAACAACTTTTGAGCAGTTGAGTCGGGTGAGCGACGAGCCAACGGCTCCCCCATTCTTATCCCTCCCCTTTGTGCTGGCTCTGTCGTCTGCTGCACCAACGCTTTGTCGAACCTGCCACGGTTGCGGTGCAAAATAATTGGATTCGGTGACACTGCAATACGTGAAGGTAAATTACGACGAATAGCATATTCAAATAAGTTTACCTGTCGCAATGCCTTTAGGCTGCCGCAGATACGGTACACTGCCAACAACGTTCAACCCGGCAGATGGGCGAGATGGCAGATGGCTGCAACGGCTGCTGCCGGGACATGCGCGCAGTTGTGGAGGCTCATCGAGAAAGCATGTTTGTGAAGCCTATAATTTATTAGCAATTCTTGGAAACTAGCCACTGGAAATGCAGTGGCTAGTTTCCAAGAACATCATGAAACTTTTCAATCATGACGGTGATGAAGCTCAAAATGGGTTTCTCCATGGATGTACTAGTCTTCACGGCACTACGCCCGGCTGACTTTTGCATGGCATAAGACGGCCGATTGAGAACTTCCGGTGGATTCACCTGCACTACAAGGAGGAAGAAGCGATCCAGAAAATCATTGTAGAGATCAGCGGTGACACCAGAAACTTCGTGTAATAAAGAAACAATGTATTGCTGTTCTATACAAGTGCCTTTTTATTCATATTTTGGAACAATTTCTCCGTTCTTAAAGCATACATTAAGTTTGTAAGCTTTTAGAGCCACCATCTGTTCGTGCAGCTCCATAAGCCTATCCAAGCGGGCTGTGATAGCCTGTTGTCCCTCGATGATCTTTTGTGTGGGGTCTTCCTTGATCCCTGCAGACGACGGAAAAGATGTTTGCACGGTTCAAAGCGGTCACAGCACTGCATTGTCACATTTCCATTATATAGCTATGAAACCAGCGCCACGCACAAATCGCATAGCTGCTGTTGGAGATTTGTGTTTGTCCTTTGTCCCCTTCAGGGAATATTTATTGGTTCTTATTATCCAGCTTGCCTGCACCCCTGCATTTATTGCATTAACTATGCAGGCCATATCTAACTACAGGAAGCATGTACGAATGATCATCACAAGTTGCTAATGAGAGAACTTGCACCTTAATAGTTATAAGCAGCACAAATTTCTACTCTGTTCCTTTTGACAGTGGAGATTTTTTTTTTTTTATGGACTTGAACACTTGTTTTGATCAGATGCTGCAATATATCTGTTTTGGTTCTGCATTAAGTGTTATGTTTGTATTGCTGCATGGTGTGGTCTGCATCTAGCAGCATTTAGGATTGCTACTCACTTTCTTGGCGTGACTTCGGATTTCCCGAAGAGTGGGCCAACATATCACCCACTTCTGGTTGGCCACTTGTGCTCGCTTCTTGGCTATCTAAATAGAAAAGCCAACAGCCTTGAGTACCGAAATATTTGCTGTTAGGAAATACAGGCTCTGCGTGGAAAAAATGCTCACTAACACAGGACTGAGAGATTGCAGAAAGTTGTACCAACTAAGCTTGATTGCTCAACCAGCAACACCTGCAGCTGGCGGCCACCGTATTCGTTGACTACCAACCAGGTTGAATGACCGAAAATGTTGTGATTAGGTAATGTAATTATAACCATTATAAGTAATGTTATGATTGCTATGGTAAAAACCGTGGACCTGCCTGCCGTTATGGTGGTGCCTTAAACAAGATCCAGAAATGCACTGTACGGATCCAGCAAACAGTGTTTGGGAAGACAGTAACGTACTGCTTGTCCATACAATGTGGGTCCCAGTCCAAATCACTTGGATAATCAGCTACCCGATTGATAATTCAAAACTGGAGGTTACGGGGATGGTTTGAAGAGCAGTAATGAAGAGGAACATTAACCATGCAACTAATCAGCCCACATTATTAACTCACCAAGTGAGGGAACTGGCCTTGCTGAGCTCGGCCTAGCAGGAGTACCTTAAAAATTTGTATTTAAAGATTAGTTTGACCAAGAAAAGCAACAAACGTGACAGGTACATACTAGGCGGGTACATACAAATTAACTGGTAGTTTGCTTGGACGGCACTATTATTTTATATTTTGCAATGGAAGTAGAACCCTTGCTAACTCACCAACTGAGGGAACTGGCTTTGCTGAGCTCGGCCTGGCAGGAGTACCTTGAAAATTTGTATTTAAAAATTAGTTTGACCAAGAAAAGCAACAAACACGACACACACATGGTAGGCTGCTAATAATGTTTTGACCGCATAATTCTAGGCAAACCATTAATGAAGAAAGGTAGTGTTTAATCCAGGCTTGTGCAAACCTACCCGAGAGTGGCAGGGAGAAGGGCACACCCACAAACACCTCTTGAATCGGGGCAACGCCAATGTCAAAGGCGCCTGGAATGCCCTCCACCGACTCCACGTTGAGCAGCCCCACGATTCTCTCCTCCATCTCGTTGAGGGGCTCGTCGCCTACGCCGCCTCCATGGCACACTGACTTTTTTTCACGGCTGTACCTGCGTATTGTGTCAGTATTAAATAACGTAGCAGACAAAGGAGGCTGCTGTAAGCGCGACTGCTCGATCACCGGTTTTCATTGCCTAGCCAAGGCTTTTGGGCAACAGGTATGCCTTTCGAACGTGCATAAGGATGACCTCAAACTTCGCAACATTTTTCTGTGTCGGACACCAGCTAATATCTCGAGCAAAATTGAACTGGTTTAACACTGTTAGTTGTCACTACACGCTTGCTAAAACCTCCCTCGTAGCTAACAGAAGGCGGGAACCTTCCACAGTGTATGACAGCATAAAATAAATGTTCGCAAAAGAATGCATCTAGCTAAGTCATCTCCGCTAGCGCGTCTAATGTCAACAACATTATTAAAAGCACTATTGGGAAGGAGTAAAATGTGCTCGTGCGTTGACTCAGCGCTAGCGCCGAACATTTTGCCTCTTACATTAGTACAAAGCATATCGTATCATTTAAGTTCGCGAACTCCAAAACTTGAGAACTGACTTACCCCGCTTCTTGTTGATGCTCTTGACATCGGCCCATTTCTTTTTTATGTCGGCCACTTCCCTTCGGATGCCGGAAACTGCGAACACATCGCGAGTAATTTGTTCCCAAGCCCGCTGCTTGGCAATCGAGCCATGCGCGCTGTTCCCTTTTCCCTCAATCGCCACTTTGCGCTGCTGGTATCCGTCTACCAGAGCCGACAGCTCGTTCTCCGAAAAATTGGCCTTTCGGCTTTTTTTGACAGGTGGTGGAGACGCCATCAGATCTCAACTACACGTGGTACTATCAAACCAAAAGTGTTATTGTCGTCAGAATCGCCATAGCAACACACCCCTCTCGCTTGTTCTCGTCGGTTACGAGACACCGGAAGCTTCTCTTTCTCTCGCTCCTCTCGCGCCTTCTGTCGTTCCCTGGTCGTTCCCTAGTTCGCAGCTAAGAACACGCCAAGAAGCCTTTCGAGCATACCGATTTCGGCTGATCTTACGAACTTCTTAAGTTACGAACTTCTTGGCTAAGATTTCGTAAGATAAGATGTTTCTTCAGAATCCGGCCTCAGATCTTTGCTTAAAGGCGGTCAGCTATGCCAGCAGATAAGGAACAGGGGCTGGGTGCGGTCAACAGAATAGCCTAGCAGACGACGCTCGCACCGGAGAGAGCTTTGTGCGCACGCGCCTAATCTCTCCCGTGACGACGCATTTCTCCCGTGCGCAGCGCTGACCGTCCCGGCGATCGACGCTCGCGTGATATTCTTAAAAAATTGGGCGACTGTCCTTGTACTTTACTCAAAATATAGGATGTCCCAAGTTACCAGGCTCGATCTAGAATGGACCGTAAAAATCGACGTGTGCACGTATCAACCTAAGCTTTTCGTCAAAAGTGTATTTCACAGGACGATTTTTTTTTTTAATTTCAACGCGTAGTTTACTTTTTATAAAAAAATAGGGCCAAGAAACTTGCCAGGGTCAATGGCGGGCGGCGACACAGACAACCAAGTCCGGTGGCGGAGCACGTTTGGCGCTCGTATTGAAAGATAGCGCATTTCTTTGGAAGAAAGATAAACAAAACAACTTACCAGCAAGATTGTCGCATGGCATATCACAACCGGACTCGCTCCCTGGTTATCCATCGTGGCAATCACCATCTCCAACATGAGGCAGCAGCATTAACAGGTCAAATTCAGGCCACTCTTTTACGGTTTCAATGACACCGCCTGGCATGGACAGTGCACCTAAAAGCTCGTAGACAGGTGATAGGTTGGCCGCGGTATCATCGTCCTTGGCCTAAAGCTCCCGGGGTTGATAAGGGTTTCGTCAGTCAACTCCGTTATCCAGAATACACAACCGCCATCCGTAAACGGCGCCTGTCTGGAAGCACCGCTACACTCGATTTCAGGTGTCGATGGTTGTAGCACAGAAAAAAGCCTTTCGAGAAACAAGTACAGCATTCTTCAAACTCAAACCTTGCCGATTCGTTTTCAAGATTTATAGGTAAATATTGAAATGATGAATATTATCGCAGAAATTGCAGCATAACGGCCTCGTTGAGAGCGTACCGTCATAATAAAATATGATATGCTTTTGCTCCGCATTATAATTAAGATTCCGTGTTCTCGGAGTTTACTTTTCCTAAAATTAAAAAGTTTACTTTCTGATATTTTTTTTACGTTGATGAATTAGGGTTTATCGCGGTTTACTTTTGTTAGATTCCCAATTCTTTGAAATTCAAAATTTTATTTTATTGTTTTAGCAATTTTTTTTTTAAATTCAGAGTAAAACTTAAACGAAATGTGCAGATATAAACGTAGCCTAAATTTGTCAAACTCACCTTATCGAATTATTTCTGTATTTGTATTTGGCATTAGAGCTTCGCCATTGGCAATACGAACTAGCTCAAAACAAATATTGCCTAAGTAACTGTCGATACTTGGAAATAACTCAACACCCGCTAAACACCTGAACGCGGTCGCTGGAAAGCACGGAACCTTCAACACCCCAGCCCCTTCATTAAAATATAAGGGTTCACAACTATCACTGTTCTAAAAACAATACCCTTCCTTCTTCTAAGAAGCACACAAATGATATGGTACAAACCAGAAGCCTAAAAAAATCGCTCTGGTCGTGACGCAGATGTACCTTGACCCGTTATCCTGAACGAATCTTGACGAGCTAAAGTGCAAACCTCCTTTTGTCTGTAATTCGAGATTTCAAAGTAATCTAAAGTGGCCTTTCCTCAGGACGACCAACCCTCTGCTTGGTTGTCCACACACACACACACACAAACACACACACACAAAAAAAAGTATTGAGAAACTTTTTATTCGCAACCTAAATCATTAAAAGCAAATCAGCAAGAAAAGAAAAAAGAGAAAAAAAAGCAGAGCGTAAACAATTTCGGACTCTTAACGCTCACCGTAATCGCAAATCCGGGGTCATAATTCTTATAAGTTATACCTCATACAAAAGACAGTCTGCGAACAGATTCGAACGCGAGCCACCGCGAGATCCGTGCGTCGAATTCCGCATGGCGACGAGCTGGAGGAGAAAACTTGGGCACGCGGCATTCGAACCACAGATACTGCGGTGATTCGTGAATGCAAACTGTCTTTTGAGCGACGTACAAATATTGTGACCCCTGCTTAAGTGAACCGTTGAGCCGGGGGTCACACTGTTCGCACATCGTGCAAGTCCGCAAACACGAGTTACCGCAATATTCGTGGTTCGAAGGCCGAGTGCCCAAGCTTTCTCCTCGAACTCGTTGCCATGCGGCATTCGAAGCACGGATCTCGCGGTGACACGCGTCCGAATCTGTGTCCAAACTGTCTTTTTTTCTTTTTTGCGTGAAGTATAAGCAGTGTGACCCCTGGTTTATTGTTTTCGGGATTGTTCATCTGACCGAAAGGTGAACTATTCCACGTTTCACACAACGTCCGAGCACAGCCAGTGCAACTATCCAATGGAGCGAATCAAGCAACCCAAAATGCGCCTCGTCACGGCGCTCGTTGTGTAAGTCTGCTATCACCGGCTAAGCCTATCACGGATAAAAATAAAGCGCAGGATCGCAGCGTATTTAATATGCGTGATTGGTTCGGTCGATGAGTGCAAACGCACAAAGGCGGTGAGCTCCAAGTCGAAACACGTTTTCCGCTGCTCGATTCGCTTTTTTTATTATTCTCATTTTTTTTTAATCGTAGTGTCGGCTTCGGACGGATTTGCAGTGAAACAACTATAATACGCGGTCTTTGATTACCCCGGGTGGTGTTCGTTTAGCCCCCTTTGTGTTCCACCGGACATGGGCGAAACGTGTCCCTTAGAAGCTACGCATAGCAGAGAAGAAAACAACAACAACAAAGCGTCTGATTTCTAATTTTTTCTACGAGCCGTTTATTCCGCCGGGTTGATTCGCTACAGATTGCTGACTCGGGAAGCGGTTCGAAGCTGAAGGCTGCGCAATAGGCAAAGGTACATCCGTCGACGGTGCTGTTACCTCGGACGTCCTTCGATCGAATATCCACGCAAAGGCAACGAGAGCCGTCACCGCACCCGTGAGAAGAAACAATCCCTGGTAGTCTCCCAAGTCGTCTCGGAAGTAGCCTGTATAATAAAATGCGTAGAAAAATAAGAAACAAAACAAAGCGTGTTCACGCAGAAAGTCTCCTTGAGTTTTGTACACTGTCAACCACCGACAAGACAACAACGCCTGCCCGTATGACATCATCGCTGTCGGTCACCGACTGGCACCAAGCGGCAAGCACGGTTTGTCCTTCAGCGTTCTTAAATGGAAGCTGAAACACTTCTTGAAAAAAAAATGAGTTAGAGGTCAATTCTGGCGTATGTTTATCCCTTGAATCTGAATACCACAATAGACCGATCTCACTAAGCGTTGGGCGCATGCGTAAAGCCGCCATAGCTTTAGTTCACAGGAGGCAGACGGCCGTGCACGCGAGGGCTAGTGCCTTCTCGTGCTCTACACGCGAAGAGCTCCAGCGAGGTTGTCGCACGTGCCCAAAGACTAAAGTTCCCTCGCTGCATTGCGGCAGCGGTGGCGTAGTCAAACTGGCCGGTGAGATCGATCTATTGTTTTCTCCGAAGATGTAACAAAACGCGAGAAAACGCGAAAAACCTCCGACCAGTTGTGACGACATACTGAGATCTTTGGGCAGTTAAGCGCGTGTCGCTCGTGTGGGCAGCGCGTGCAATCGCTATCTAGCCAGGTATATTTTTCCGCACTGACAGCACTCGTGACGTTTCGTTCTGACCTTTTCTTTTTTTTGAAAATCGTAAGAGTGCGCGTACGTAGCTTTGACAGGCGCTGAAGATGCGTGAGAGAAGAGATTCCGAAAACTCCTAGTGTGACGTCACGCCCCGGAAAGGAGGGGCTTCAGCTGTACTTTAAAATTCGGTTTCTGCAGCCTCCGTGCACCAAACTAAAAAATAGTCTCGATATTCGTGATCCTGGAAGCAGAATAAAAACCATTGAAGTGTTTTTTTTTTTTTTTTTTTTTTTTGCAGATACAGAATTATTTTAGTTTCCCTTTAATGGCTAATTCTGCAATCCGATAGGCTGCTGAGCGACAATGAGCTGCTGAGGATTTAAGCTGTCAGCGACTAAATGTGGTTGCAAAACACGAAATCAGCCGGAGCCGGTAGTAAAGCCTTTAAAACAAAAACCTGGCTATTTTTTATGAAGAATAGTTTTGGTACTAATACCTTGAATATAGAATACCTTTTCTCCCCATAAAAGCGTAAAAAAATGTATCCGATGTCAATAAAGCATGATAGGCGCATAGATGCAGTGATGAATTGCTGGTCTAAAAATTATCATGTACGAGATTTTTTTTCCATAAAACAAATTTCTTTTTACAGCGGAGCTGTTAAGGGCTAGTTTCCCCAGGATCGTGTCCGGTACCAAACAAATGTCGACACAAAACTCTGGTTGCCGCCGTCGCTCATAGATGGCGGTAGTTGTCCAGAGTGTTGTGTTTGTCGGTTGTCTGCTTGCCGCCGTCGCTCATAGATGTCGGCAACATTTTTTTGGAGGAAGAAGAGGTGGAACGGAACGAGCGGCGATGTGCACAGCAGCGCGAATGAATTGATCCGCAACCACCGCAAGGCCGCGATTGCCAAAAGTTCCACTGCGTCGAGCGCTTCAGATTTCCTTGTGAAAGAAGAGCAGGTCGCTCGTCTGGAAAGCCACCACCAAGAACAGAAGCTATAGTTCGGCTGCTCTTCCTTCTTCACCAGAGTGAAAAAAAACTGAACGTTTTTTTTTTTTTCCTTTTTTAGCAAATTCGAATATACTTATTTAAACTGGTGTAGCCAAAAAGCAGGTGGCGAACAACTCCGAAATGCCGGGCGCTGCCCTCCCCCCCCCCCCCCTCCCCTCACCTTCCCCCCTCAAAAAAAAATTAGGTTTTGTTTTTCAAACATATTAATACCCCCGTTTCACACCAAGCGCAGCAGACGCATACGTTCAATAAATCCGAATAAGCAGCGCTACACGTGGGTCGCCATGGAGCTCGTTGTCAATGTGAGTTCGCTAAATCAGGGGCGGTCACGTCTACTGAATTCTCTGTGCTCCTGCGCTTTTTACTGCGCATGATTGGTTTAACCGGTAATAGAACACGCATAAAGACGGCAAGCGCCGTGGCGATGCACTTTTGACGCTTCTTGATTGGCTACATCGGATTGTAACATAAACTGCCATCGGACATAGCGTTAGGCAGAGTATAGTTGCTCTAGTTTCTACTAAACGAGTCATATAGTCACCGATGATTACGGCAATTACCTATGCACGTCGTACAAGGTGATGGCCATAAGCATAAATCCTTTAGGCCGACCAATGTGTGTGATTTTTTTTATTTAATTCAAGTTTTATTTTGGTGTTGTGAGAAAGATTCTGCTCTCTTTCGGGCTGTTTCACAGAGCGCTACGTAATGAAGCCGTTGTCCAGCTGCCATCATGAAAAGCAGCGCCTCGCCATTGACTCGTCACAAGGGTAGTAACAGCTCGACGGAGGCAGTTACGACACCAAACGCAATCAAACGCAACTGTGTGAACGGGCCTATATGCCCTAGTCTCATTGGAGCGACAGTCGGGAACTATCGACACCGACAAGCCTCGTGCATATGCAGGGGCAGGGTGCACTCGAAAGTGCCTTCGGCAGGCAGGCAGTCTTTCCGTGCTCGTGAAGTAAGCACGAGTTACTACGAGACAGCCAAACATACGTTCGCGTACCGTGCAAGCTGCAGGTGTTTGAGGCCTGTCGGTGTCGGCTGTTTCTTTTTGTCGCTCTAGTGGGACTCAGTCATTATACGGTCTGCGCTCCACCGCTGCTTTAGTTGTAAAAATAGAAAGAAAAAAATGACAACGCTGACCATATTACAATGAAAAAGTGATCCCAGATGTTATAACTCTGATTCCAACATTCTACCTTAACTCTCTAGTGCCAGGGGACCTGCCTGTACTTTGTTTCCCCTTCAGGCCAGAGCGCAGGCCACGCCATGCGAGCCGATCTGATCTACCAAAAGGCGTCAGCATCGCAAAGACAGTGTTTTCATAATTTGTCTGTACGTATTCTATTCGCGAGAGTCTAGACTAATCAAGAACAATGAATTCGCCGGAACTTTCGCCTTTAGTATGTGCGTTTGCGTCTCCAGGCGTTTGAGCCTACGACTGTACTATGACTTACAATGAAACGAGGGTTAGAAATATTACAGCGATTATTACTATACTTCCAATGGCGATATTAACTCGAGCCTGGGGCAGGAGGAGGTTAAAGGTTATAGTAGTAGAAAAAAGAAATAGGGACAACCATAAGACATTCTTTTTTCTATCGCAGTAAACTTTTTCCTCCTCCTGTCCCAGCCACGGCTGAATGCCACTATGGTAGACATTCACAAGCTCGCCTGAACAACAACAAACACAAACAAAAACAAAAACCACAACAACTACAACAATAATAATAATAATAATGATAATATTATTAATAATTTATCGACACACCGTAGAAGTCGGAAAGGTTTTACGGGTTTCTCAAAGCCTCTAATGGCATGTGGGACTTGGACCCCGCAATTTTATTAAGTAAGCCCAATATAATGACAGATAGTTATGACACTGACAATGAACACCGAGTTTGAGAAATGAAGAAGCCGAACACAATATCTAAATTACACAAAAGAAACGTGCAAACCGCACACAACACACCAGAGAGAAAAAAAGCGACAACACAAGTACTTTGAAAACTACCATAAAAAAACGTAAAAAAACTAGGACGTTACAAACAGAAGAATAGTCAACTTGGTTTGTGAGAGTAAAAGCTCCTATGTCTTGCTGACAGAAAGTACTAGTCGACATAGCACAACTTAGCACAGCAGAAAACGTTCTGTAACTGCTATAAGCACGACACACGTCGGATACAAAAAGATATGTCGAACAAACATTCATAACAGAAGTAGTTCAGTAATATTTGATAAAGCAAAGAGATTTAGCGCAATGTTTCCAAGCTCTTCCTTAGCTGTCGTTTGGTGTCCAGCCCGAGAAACGACTCGGGTGGTGTAGTAAAAATGTCAGGAACATAGAAGGACCGCATTCTCTTTCCATACTTGGTAGACACTCGAGACACTGAGAAACGCTCACTGTTTCTTAGCGGGCGCCGAACAATACGATCGGTTTTAAAAGAGCTAACCCCATGGTGTTTAGTTATCACTATGGTGCCAGGAACGCGTCTCCGACTGGTATGTTTACCGCGCCCAAAAAAGTGGTCCCTTGATTTCCGCCTGATGACGTCATAGAAGTGTCATGCTGTCGCCGGTCGCGACCCTGGCGGCGTCCCAGCAGTTGGGGTGTATGTGGCAGACGTCTGTTCTGCTGCAGGTCGATCTTCACTTCGGCAGTCCACGGAAGCTACGGCAGCAAACCGTTGGGACGCCTGGGACGCCGTGACGACAGCGACACTCGCGTTCGCTCGTGTTTTTGGCCAGCATTTCTGCGGCCAACCGCCAGGATCGCGACAGGCTACAGCATGACACTCCTGCTTCTGTGACGTCATTTGTTTCCACTTGGGGACCACTTTTCATGTATGGGCGGGATAGGACGCTAAACACACCAGTCGCAGACGCGATCCAGGCATCATAGTTGTCACATGTTTTAAAAAGCGGTAGAAAAACGTGGGAGATCTAACCACTCGATTAAATCCTCGTTTGGTGCATCCTCGGTGTTGTACGCAACTTCACGTAAAATTTTTTTTAGGTTATATTCAATTTTAGTTTGCCACATTTGCGAACGATTTGCGTGTACAGGAATCCCATAAGGCAGTACACCATATGCCGAAGCATTGGCAAAAATTCTTTGTACTAAGAAAGGCAGAAAGGTTTTCGTGGAAAACAAAAGGCAGGATACACTAGGCAGTTTTTTTAGCAATTTAAGTAATATGGGACTTCCAAGATAGATCACTATCAAAAGGTATACTTAAGTTTTTGCTTAAATTAACATACTTAATGGTGTGCAACAACAATGAACACAATTCGACGAATAAAGCAAAAATGAATTATCCAGTCATTTTTGTTTCAAAGGATTACTGAAACATACAAGCTATATGTTTTCTTTATGTTAATTTTGATGAGATCGGTATCAAACCAATTCAGTACATGGGTAGCAGTGGATTGCAAAGCAAAATTGCACGGTCCAAGTCTATGTGATGTGACATTAATAGGGGGTCATCCGCATACTTATATAAGTGACATTCAAAACATATTTTCGCCATATAATTTACATACATATTAAATAAATGTGCCGACGACACAAAACCCTGTGGAACTCTGCCCTTCAAATTCACTGCTGCGCTTCGGGTATTACAAATGGAAACTTGTTGCGTACGATTTGATAAAAAAAAAAATATATGAATTGACCAGAAAAAGGGGCCTCGAAAACTGTAGTGGAATATTTTCCTCGACAATATCTTATGCGGAATATAGTCAAACCCTTTTGCCACATCTAAATATGGTGTGCATGCAAATTTGGTGCTCTCAAAAGAGGAATTGAACGTGTCCACAAGACCTTCAAGTAAACAATCGGTGCCACGCATCGTGATAAACCCCGTACTTAGACGAAGACAAAAGATCAAACCTCTTAAGAAAGGACGTCATTGCTATTATAGAATGTGTTTTTACAGAACAGTGCGAAGCATGGAGGAATGGAAATCAGCCTATAACTTTCAACTATATTACGCTTTCTACCATTGTAGAGTGGTCTGATTTTAACGCTTTTCAGGCCATCAGGAATAACCTGTGTTCTAATATTTCCATTCAATATATGAATCGATGCAATACTCGTAGTAGCGCAAATTTGACACATCCTTTCACATCATTTACTTGAGCCCATGTTTTTAAAATATCAATACGTGATTTGCAAAATGATTCATAGATGTGTTTGCGCTTCTTACACCGAATACGGGAATTGACGAAATTTTGTTTACTTATATATTCTACATTTAACTCTTCATCTTTTGGGTGTCGACGGCATCGTGCCAACAAGATATATTTTATTTAATGGCCGACAAAATATACATGCCGTAAGCCGAGGCGGATTTGGTTAGCACTTCTTTACTTCAATAATTTTTGTACGCGCTCTTCTGAAAGTTTGAAAAGATCGACAAGTTTAGAATAGATATCCTGGTAGTTTGTATCCTCCACATATGCAATCCAGTCATTAGCAGCAATTAGTCTATCAAGGTGACGTGAGTCAAGGACTGTAATTCTCCTTTGCTTCTCGCAGCGTTCTCCGGATAAGTTCATAGGCATGTCAAATCGACACGCCAGAAAATAATAATCCGCCAGCTTTTGTTCAACTACTGCCGATAGTACGGGTGCCCCTGTTTTTCTGGCATTTATGTGATCGATACACGAAATTACTAAATCATTTTAAAGGAGTTTTTCTCTTGTTGCTGATTCTATTAGACTTTCTAACCCGTGATTGGCAAGTATATTTAAATAATCATATACAATAGATCTATAAGGTTTCAGTAGGTCGATGTTGAAATCACCCACTAGCCAAACCCATTGATTTGTGACATCTTCCTTAGATTTGAGTTGAACTCATCTAGAATTTAAAGCACATTTCCCGATGGTGGTGTGTAATAGTCCATAAGCGAAATTCCGGAAGTAATATTGAAAGGCTTAACAGAGAGACATTCAGCGGGTTTGAAAAAAACCTTAATATTTGCAGTAGACCAGTCATCTTTTATGTAAACGGTGACGCCGCCTCTTCTAGACTGTCTACGGGAAAGGAAAAACGCTTCGAGACCAGAGAAGGAAAATTAACCTTTCAAAATGTCTACGTCCCGTTCTGTATACATTTATTTCTGTTACAACGAAACCGTTGACTGTAACATGAACCGCTCCTACGATATTTTAAAACTAAATACAATGCTTTTTGATGCTCCTCATATAAAATTAATACAACTACTACTACTACTACTACTACTACTACTACTACTACTACTAATAATAATAATAATCTTCAATGACTCAAGAAAGCCACGGCACCGCAGAAAGGTGACAGGCCGTACAACGGAGGCCCGTGGAGCCGCAGGGTGATCATGGGATGACATAATACATACATATAAGATGAAGACGACATACTCTTGTGAACGTGGCCGGTGATGAAATGTATGCCAGAAATACCCTAACTCGTTTTTTGGCACTGCACTTTATTCAGCCCATGTCCGACCCCCAGTCTCGGATTAATTGCACTATGGAAAACATTTGCCAGCTCTACTGACGTCTAACCCCTGGTTAGCTCAGTTGGTAGAGCGCTCCACTTGTAATGGAGAGGTCCCGGGTTCAATACCCGGACCAGGCGGATTTTTTCGGTCGCTCACCAGTCACCTAGCTGTGTTTGGAGATTTATGTTTGTCCTTTGTCTCCCTTGTTCCCCTTCTCCAGGGATTATTTTCGTCATTCTTGTCCAGCTCGCTTGCACCTTTGCATTTAATTGCATTATAATCATAACATTAAATTGCAAGCTTCACTTTTGTTGGTGTACGACTGGTGGCAGCTGATAAAACCCGTTTGCTCTACTGACGTCTAACCCCTGGTTAGCTCAGTTGGTAGAGCGCTCCACTTGTAATGGAGAGGTCCCGGGTTCAATACCCGGACCAGGCGGATTTTTTCGGTCGCGCACCAGTCACCTAGCTGTGTTTGGAGATTCATGTTTGACCTTTGTCCCCCTTGTTCCCCTCCTCCAGGGATTATTTTCGTCATTCTTGTCCAGCTCGCTTGCACCTTTGCATTTAATTGCATTATAATCATAACATTAAATTGCAAGCTTCACCCTTGTTGGTGTACGATTGGTGGCAGCTGATAAAACCCGTTTGCTCTACTGACGTCTAACCCCTGGTTAGCTCAGTTGGTAGAGCGCTCCACTTGTAATGGAGAGGTCCCGGATTTTTTCGGTCGCGCACCAGTCACCTAGCTGTGTTGGGAGATTTATGTTTGTCCTTTGTCCCCCTTGCTCCCCTTCTCCAGGGATTATTTTCGTCATTTGCCAGCTCGCCCACACACTAGCGGTATTTACGTCACTAGACTTAATTTCAGCATAATCCCCCCTCCCCCCACCCCTTTGGGTTAACATCACTACGGAAAACGTCCACCAGCTCGCCTGCACACTAACTGTATTTTCGGCGCCATAGTTTATTTCAGCTTAAGTCATACCGCAGCCAACAGCTAAATACGTACTAACACAGGCTGAAACTGGTCACGGCGCATGCAGTGAGCGTATTTGGCTTAGCAGTGACGTTGCCTTTTCGGCCTCGCTTCACCGACTCATAGAATTGGTGGAACAAAGTAAAAGCATCGCATGCTAATAGCGATGCCATACCCGAAAACCTTAACGCAGCTCACTTACCAACCAGTAGAGGCCTTGGAAGAAGCATAACCCCACCGAGGAAGATAGATGTTCCAAAGCACTCGCAGAAGCTATCGGCGTCCACAAGATCCATGTAGAGCACCGGAATCAAAATCAAAGTAGCACCGTTGCACCAACCAACGACCATGGCGAGGAATGCATGAAGATAAAAGGAGTGGCAAAGAGGCATCAAACACAACGACACTGCACAGAATAAAAGGTTGACGGCCGTCATGAAGTTCTTTCCGATGAATCCTTTGTCCGTGATCCAACCCGATCCCAGCTTGGCCACCATGTCTCCCATTGAGAAGAACATAAGCAGAAGGACGGCGTCCCATTTGGAAATATTCCGGTCAGTCGCAAAGTCCACGATGACAGCAAGGTACGTGGACATAATGAAAAGGCTTACGCCATTCGTAGAGGCGATTAGGTAGAATTTGGGAGAAATCAAATAAGAGGGAATGTTAACCTTGAAAAGACATTTTGTGTTTTTCGGACGGACTCCATGCTCCTGCGTCTCGTAATATGCATCATCAATGTCATCCCCCTCAGAGAAAAGACTTTTGAATTTCTTGCTGCGATAGTCCGCTTGAGTGAAAGGACTTTCGTCATTCTTTAATCCTAAGTACGAAGCTCGTGTGTATTTCGGGTCACCATCTCCTTGGTGTTCCTTTTTTGCGTGTTGATACCGTTTTACCGTTGATAGACATTCTTCACTAGAAGTCATTACAATTTTCGCACCCTTGACACATTCTTGAATGCCACTAACATCTGAATATGTCTTTTCCTCTAAAGGCAGCTTTAATGCTGAGCTTTCCTCGAGGGCGACTTTTGGCTTATCCAACTTTTTTGTAATGATAAGATTCACATGCGCACCTTTCCCACTAGCACACTCTAAAAGAGTAGCCTGATTTGCTTTGTTCTGATCCAAAGAAATATGTGCGCTGTCTTTGTTTTGTAAAGATGGTGGTCCTCCGGTTGTGTCTGGAGGTAGTCTCTGCAGAAGTGCCCCTGCAGTAGCGTTCAACATCAGAGCTCCAGCGATTAGGAGCATTCCCCTGGTGTTGTATTCGTCAACCAAGTATTGTAATAATGGCGGGAATATAAGTCCTCCAATGGTCAGTCCCGCGTAGCATATTCCACAAGCGACAGCTCTGTAACGGGTAAAGTGCTGTCGTATCACGGTGGTAGAAAGTGTGATAAAAGAGATGGTGATACCTGCAAGCAGCAAAAGAAATAAGAGTTGTAATTAAGGTGTTATGCAGAATAATATTTGTAATGTAATGTTTGCAGTTTTTAATTCTTTTTTGCGTGCTTTGTGTCACACCTTCTCCGCATTAAGGAAAAAGAAGAAAGAAAAGAAAGCAATCTCCAATCTCTGAAGGAAATAAACACTCTTTTTTATCATAGCTTAAAGGGGCCCCGCAATCATATTTAAGCGTCTACCTTTTTTGCGGTTTCCACGTCTCTTGGGGTTCGGGCAAGCCAGCAGGCACGGAGAGAGTAACTAGATATCAGTGCATCATATTTTAACCGGACGACGCGGAAACCTCCTCCACCTACAGGGGCGACCCGCAGTGACGAAAGCGTGCAATAGGTGACGACATCGTGACGTTTTAGGTCCTGGCGCTTCTACTGGTCAGAGCCGATTAAAGCTTCTTTTTAGTCGAAATACAAAATATAAGTGGCGCGAGCCGTTTTAGTTATTTATAAAAATAGTTTTTATTCAGTATTTCAGGTAAGAAAAGAAACAAATACAGTTTATAAAGTACGGAAACAAGAAATGACCCGTCGACATAGCCGCCACCAAGCAGTGGAAAAGGCGGTGCATACCAGAAAGGTGTAGTGGGATCAGGCGCCGACGAGCAGCGAGCGTAGAAAAGTCCCGGATGTATGCGACGGCGCTGCAGTCGAATGTCCGACCGGTACCGAGCGTTCCAAAGGCCTTCGGCGAGCAGCTTTGGCTTGCGGTTTGGCCCTTTGGCGGTATGGCAGCGCGAAGTGACTCCCATTCTGAACTGATCTTTACCTCGTGTTTGCTGTCGTTTGTGGCCAATGAAGTGTCATGCCGAATTATTGTTTAGTAGTGCAGCAAATGCAATGCGAGCCGCCCTGGCTGCAAGCTTCATGCAGCCTATTCAGAACACGCTTTAGTATCGCCCTCCTGAGCCGTCGACACGGAGCACGGCAGCCGTGAGCGCTCGCTGAGCCCACTACCCCTCCTCTAGTTCACGGCCACTCAAGCAACCAAGGACGCCATGAAGGAGGTTATTTTTTGCTTGTTTTGAAATTTTAATTTGCCTATAACTTTTAAAATAAAGCGAAATTCGAGAAAATAAAAGCTTCATTAAGTTATTACGTTTAGTGCGCTCAGATTCGGTGCAAGCTAAAAACCAGTAAACAAGTTCTTGCAGGACCATTTTAAACATTGAAATAAATAAAAAATTTGATAAACTAAGACCATATCAGCGGTGCTCATAAATCTGTTTTACGCTCGACGTTTAAATAGCTAGGTCAGCTTAAAGGCAGACGCCCAATCAGAAAGGACGAAACTCTTTCAGTTTCTTCTTTTCATTGGAGAGAGGGATACCTTCTCCTTTCTGCGGGGAGTAGAACAGAGCGACCCGCTCCTGTGAGGAGGAACCTCCCATGCCTTTCTGTTTTAATTCAAAATAGCTAGACAGTGCGAAATCTGTAATAATTTAAAATGACTGAACATTTTAGAAATAGTTTTTTTTTAAATTTAATTCCTGTTTTATCCCGAATTCCCAGCTGTACCTGTCCCATTTGATTTTCTCGTCATCGGTGTAATTAGATAAGTCAAGAAGCTGTTCTTCCAATTTGACTCTTTATTTGACCGTCTTATCTACACTTTTAAGGTATCCCTCGCACCACAGCGTGTTTTAAGTGCAAAGAAGTAACGTAAATCTCAATAAAGAAAATGTTAACCAACCAATTAAGCGCTAAAACACGTTCATTCATTTCAGATGCCTAAAATGAGCCTCACAAACGTTTTACAATCGAAAATCAGGTTTTAAAAGAACTTGAGCATTTGATAACCAAAGTAGCATGCACTTACCATATATAACTCCCAAAAAGACGATAAGAAACCATATTCCGTTGGCAAAGAAGCAGACGGAAACGGCTAGGCCGCCGACCAGGCACGCAGAAACCGTCAACTTCCAGATCGCATAACGTCTTCCCAGTGTTCCCACTATAGGACCTACGAATTCAGATTGCATACTCCTGTCACGTAGCGTATTATTGAGTTACTTTAACAAACTTTATTCGAGTAATTGAATTCAAAATACTTTTAATGTGCTGAGCATAATAAATTTCGTTGGCCTCTAAAACAAATATCTCGCTAATGACATGAGAGTTTTTATTGAATTGACAGTCACATGCAATGGCTCGGGCTTCCAAACTTTAAGGAGCTGTGCAAATGTTGAAAGAATGAAGCCGTGTGAAGATTAGAGTCGAAACATTTTGTTTTTTCTTTGGTCAAAATGCGCATTGGTTAAAACTGCCGCTTTTTATGATTTTCACACTCTCTATGTTTGACTAGGATACATGGCACTCACTGAAGAATTGAACATCAAAAACGCGGCATGGAACAAACGGCATCTTAAGGATCATTGGTTTGAATTTCTCAAGTCAAGCAAGTAGGCTGTTCTCTAATTCTGCACTGTGAGATGGTTGAGGGCATGCTATAAGCTATAGACGGTGACAGGTTAAGATTTCAGTAGCCTCTCCGCCTCCAGCGCGTACTTTCTGCCTTCGATAACACTTCCTTGCACCCGCAGCCAGATCCCGGTGCAAGGCAACGAGCTTGTGATGGGGATGGTGTGCGTAGTGAATTCTTAACTTGTCACCGACTAGTACACCCGTAACAGTATAATATTACGAGAAACAAAATAGAGCACAGCACCACGTAATCCAAGATGCCTTTATCGTGCCCGTTGACAGTCAAAGCATCTTCAGGGATCAGGAGCCAGTGGCACAACCCACGGAAACGGAAACTCAATGGTATCGCATACCTGAGACGCAGAGGAAGATGCCCATCAACGTGACAGGCCACGACGCCTCTTCCCTGGTGATGTTGAGCGAGTTCAGAAGTGCTGTGTATATGATAGCAGCAGAGCGGAAAATGCCATAGGCGAAGACGTAGACCCAACAGCATCCTGCAGCCACGATCCAACTTGTCGATGGGTCCATAAGCAATCCTTCTGGTCACAAACAGCTTGAAGAAAAATAAAATATTCTCTGAGTTTCACATCTAAAGAGCTCCTGTTTACTGACACCAATGAACGAAGCATTAATATGTCTAAAAAGTAACAAAAGTCTAACCCATCACTCATTTTGGCAGTTTGTTGATTGGTCGGTCCATTAATTATTATCGTAATCTTTTCTCTTTTTTTTGATGGAAGAAACATATCAGATCAGGCTTCTTGGTTTTTGTGTCAAGCCGGAGTCGCACTGCTTATCACTATTGTGTAAAATACTCAACAAAGGTATTTAAGGTAAGATACTAAATACATATTTGAAAATCTATTTAGAGCAGTATTTAAGGTACTTTTCGTATGAACTATCTTGAGTAGAGTACAAACACTTCGGAAAAAGTGAAAGCCGTTTACCACTCCCTGCAACGCCGAATTGGAGCGCAGCTCTTGAGGAGGAGGGGGGGGGGCACTGAGGGCCACGTGTTCTCGGGGGGGGGGGGGGGTCACGTGACCTCGGGGGTCACGTGCCCCCTCAGAGGTCACGTGACCTCGGGAGGGGGTCACGTGACTCCCCAGGTCACGTGACCCCCGGGTCACGTGACCAAAATTTTCCCGCTAGATTTAGCGGGGAAATTTTTTCCGCTAGATTTAGCGGGGAAATTTTTTCCGCTAGATTTAGCGGGGAAAGTTGTCCGCTAGATTTAGCGGGGAAATTTTTTCCGCTAGATTTAGCGGGGAAATTTTTTCCGCTAGATTTAGCGGGGAAATTTTCCCGCTAGATTTAGCGGGGAAATTTTTTCCGCTAGATTTAGCGGGGAAAGTTTTCCGCTAGATTTAGCGGGGAAATTTTTTCCGCTACATTTAGCGGGGGAATTTTTTCCGCTAGGATTTAGCGGGGAAAGTTTTCCGCTAGATTTAGCGGGAAAATTTTTTCCGCTAGATTTGACGGGGAAATTTTCCCGCTCGATTTAGCGGGGTAATTTTTCCGCTAGATTTAGCGGGGAAATTTTTTCCGCTAGATTTAGCGGGGAAAGTTTTCCGCTAGATTTAGCGGGAAAATTTTTTCCGCTAGATTTGACGGGGAAATTTTTCCGCTAGATTTAGCGGGGAAATTTTTTCCGCTAGATTTAGCGGGGAAATTTTTTCCGCTAGATTTAGCGGGGAAATTTTTCCGCTAGATTTAGCGGGGAAATTTTTTCCGCTAGATTTAGCGGGGAAATTTACCCATAATGCACCGCGCGGTTACGCCGACGCCGACGCCGACGGCGACGGCGACGGCGACGGCGACGCCGCTCAAGCCGGGAACGGGCCCCTAAGAGCTGAGCTCTAAAAGTAATTGAATTACATTCGTAGATACTTGGCAAGTAGGTTGTAACCTGGTAATAAAAGAATTAAAAAAAGTAAAAAGGGGGGGGGGGGAGTTCTACTTTTGATGGGTTTGCTGAAAATCACATTCTGTTGTGATCTTTATGACTTTCAAGAAGCCACTTAGCTGCTGCATTTGAAGTTTATTTTGAAATAATTCCGGATATTTAACATAATGGGTACCGAACGATTCTAGAAACAAGGGGGACTTACGCAGTCTATGCTCCGTCTCACTAGAACCGTGCAGTACAGCCAAAGCTACAAGGGCGAGAGAGAGATCCCGACCAGTTCAAGAGGAAGCAAAGGAGGAACGGGGGAATCCCAGCCCTTCTCTCCTTTTCCTCCTGTTGAGCAGGTTGGCATACGCTTTTTCTCCTGTAGCTCGAAATACGCTCTTTCTCCTGTAGCTTACAGCTCGAAAGGGTCGCTATAACCCTACCCGTCCTGCAGCGCTTTAATTCCTTCCTAGAGGCCCCTCCTCCTCACTGCGGTATCCGCTTTGCTCCAGGGTCGAGTTGGAGAAGTTTCTAAAGTAATTACGCCCACAAGTCACGAGGCTCCCTGCCTGCAGGACTTTATGTGGAGCACCTCTTTCTCTTCGCCTCCTCAAGGAACGAGTTTCTTTAAACAAGCATTTAATTATCGAAAGCCGAAACATATTTCAATCGGATGACTACAGTTATTTCGAATAAGTATAATGGTAAACATTTTTAATCGCAGTTGTCGGGGAACGGTTGTTCAGGATGTCTCAGTTTGTGTTGGTCAAAGTAGTGTGGTCTCACCCACACGCGGCTAAGGAAGTCGCATTGCTTCTAGGTGAGAGCGAAGGCCGCAAGGAAAGCCGCTGTCTAGCTCGGCCATAGAAGAACACGGCAGAGCAGCACTGAGCATCTCGGTTGCTTTTATTTCGCAGCACTGATTTTCGGGCACTTGCAAGAACGAAAGAGAAGCGGAAGGAAACTTTACGAATCGTGATAGTGGCAACTTATCGTTAATTGCAAAGGGAAAGAGTCATGGTGGGTGTAAATCGCACAGTGAAAACTTGGAGTCGTCGCATCAACCAACACCGTCAAAGTTGATCGTCTGACATTAATCTTATTTCAATAAATGAAATAACAAATTAACCCAAACAAAAAGACCTACGGAGGGTTCGGCCCATGTGCAACGGTTTTGATAGCACACTTCACGGGAAAAGATTTTATTCACGCGAAAGCATTACCTGCCTCATGGAGCGGAGCCGGTGGTTTCTGTAACCGCGAAAAACGGCGACGAAATTCCCATTTCCCCATTGGCTGAGCGAACGGCACCCAAAGGCTCATTTGCTGTGACGCGCCATATTTCCTAGGAACGTCACCCCACAGAGAGGCCCTCGGGTACCGCTGCGGCCCGCGCGCCAGTAAAAGGGAGAGGGTTGCGCCGACTCTCTCCTCCCCCTCTCGGGACACCTGTCAATCATTGCCGGAGGCCCGGACCCCGGACCAGGGGGAGGGGGGCGAGGGGAGCGGGAAATTTCCGCTTCTCAGATGTCCTACGCTCTGCTTTGAGCCATGTCGCGCCGCGGAGGAGCGGGGCGTGCTGCCCTCTGTCCTCCATGCCGTGGAGGGCACGCTGCCTGCAGGAATGCGCTGCGTGTAGGAATGCTTTCGCATTTCTACACGTAAACTGTCTTAAATGTCCTCCTGGTATTTCTTTTTTCTTTTAATGCGTGAGTCTTTTTGATTGAGGCCGGCGTTGTCTGTAGCAGCGAAAAAAGGAAACCTAAATTGGCTGAGCGAAACGGCATCCAATTTCCATTGGCTGAGCGAAATGGCATCCAATTTCCATTGGCTGAGCGAAACGGCATCCAATTTCCATTGGCTGAGCGAAATGGCATCCAATTTCCATTGGCTGAGCGAAATGGCATCCAATTTCCATTGGCTGAGCGAAATGGCATCCAATTTCCATTGGCTGAGCGAAATGGCATCCAATTTCCATTGGCTGAGCGAAACGGCATCCAATTTCCATTGGCTGAGCGAAATGGCATCCAATTTCCATTGGCTGAGCGAAACGGCATCCAATTTCCATTGGCTGAGCGAAATGGCATCCAATTTCCATTGGCTGAGCGAAATGGCATCCAATTTCCATTGGCTGAGCGAAATGGCATCCAATTTCCATTGGCTGAGCGAAATGGCATCCAATTTCCATTGGCTGAGCGAAACGGCATCCAATTTCCATTGGCTGAGCGAAATGGCATCCAATTTCCATTGGCTGAGCGAAACGGCATCCAATTTCCATTGGCTGAGCGAAATGGCATCCAATTTCCATTGGCTGAGCGAAATGGCATCCAATTTCCATTGGCTGAGCGAAATGGCATCCAATTTCCATTGGCTGAGCGAAATGGCATCCAATTTCCATTGGCTGAGCGAAACGGCATCCAATTTCCATTGGCTGAGCGAAATGGCATCCAATTTCCATTGGCTGAGCGAAACGGCATCCAATTTCCATTGGCTGAGCGAAACGGCATCCAATTTCCATTGGCTGAGCGAAATGGCATCCAATTTCCATTGGCTGAGCGAAATGGCATCCAATTTCCATTGGCTGAGCGAAATGGCATCCAATTTCCATTGGCTGAGCGAAATGGCATCCAATTTCCATTGGCTGAGCGAAACGGCATCCAATTTCCATTGGCTGAGCGAAATGGCATCCAATTTCCATTGGCTGAGCGAAACGGCATCCAATTTCCATTGGCTGAGCGAAATGGCATCCAATTTCCATTGGCTGAGCGAAATGGCATCCAATTTCCATTGGCTGAGCGAAATGGCATCCAATTTCCATTGGCTGAGCGAAACGGCATCCAATTTCCATTGGCTGAGCGAAATGGCATCCAATTTCCATTGGCTGAGCGAAACGGCATCCAATTTCCATTGGCTGAGCGAAATGGCATCCAATTTCCATTGGCTGAGCGAAATGGCATCCAATTTCCATTGGCTGAGCGAAATGGCATCCAATTTCCATTGGCTGAGCGAAATGGCATCCAATTTCCATTGGCTGAGCGAAACGGCATCCAATTTCCATTGGCTGAGCGAAATGGCATCCAATTTCCATTGGCTGAGCGAAACGGCATCCAATTTCCATTGGCTGAGCGAAACGGCATCCAATTTCCATTGGCTGAGCGAAACGGCATCCAATTTCCATTGGCTGAGCGAAACGGCATCCAATTTCCATTGGCTGAGCGAAATGGCATCCAATTTCCATTGGCTGAGCGAAATGGCATCCAATTTCCATTGGCTGAGCGAAATGGCATCCAATTTCCATTGGCTGAGCGAAATGGCATCCAATTTCCATTGGCTGAGCGAAATGGCATCCAATTTCCATTGGCTGAGCGAAATGGCATCCAATTTCCATTGGCTGAGCGAAATGGCATCCAATTTCCATTGGCTGAGCGAAACGGCATCCAATTTCCATTGGCTGAGCGAAATGGCATCCAATTTCCATTGGCTGAGCGAAACGACATCCAATTTCCATTGGCTGAGCGAAATGGCATCCAATTTCCATTGGCTGAGCGAAACGGCATCCAATTTCCATTGGCTGAGCGAAATGGCATCCAATTTCCATTGGCTGAGCGAAATGGCATCCAATTTCCATTGGCTGAGCGAAACGGCATCCAATTTCCATT